GAAGTTTTATGTTTTTATGTTATGTATTTTGTTTGTTTATATTTGTTTATTGAGGATTAATGACGTTGGATAAGAACATATGAAACAGTAATAATACGAAATATAGTAATATGAAATAGATGAAAGTATAAGTTTAATGAATAAAATTGAACAGAAATAAAGGAAGAAACAGTGTGAAGTTGGAAAAGAGTAATAAGATATGAAGTTGAATATATAAGATGCATATTAAATTGTGTATGGAAACGTGATAATTTAGAATTATGTTGTACTTAAATAAGATGTTTTATTTGTTTTGTTAAGCAGTTTTTAGAAAAGATGTTCTATGTTCTAATGATTTATGTTTTGTTTGTCTGTGTATTGTCTTTGAAAATTAATAAAATTTGTTTTTTTAAAAAAAGCAATGACAATGCAGTTTTATCCTGATACTATATTGCCACACAATTTTAACAACTTGCAGTTTAATGAACTATTTTATTCATAATTCATATGTGGAAGGAATCACATGTGGTACAATTTAGGACTGGAAATGTTATTTTCAGGTTTTCACTGGAATACAGGCTTAGATAATATACTTTGTATTGCTCATAAACAAGTTTGCAATTTCCAAATTATGGTGCATAACATTCTGGAAAAACTGTCAGTGTTATAGAACAGATTCTGCTGTTTCATTTCAAGTAACTGACAATGCAAAATTATTAGCATCACTGAAGAAACAATTTTTTGCTATTCTGTGTTCAGTATAGTCTCTTCAATAAATATCAACAGCCAAAAATAAATGCTTACCTATTTGTATTCTAATTGCAGCTGATTACATAAAGACCTTCAAATCATCTTACAAGAATGTAAACAAGTCAAAATACAGAAATACCGAACAGAATTAAAAACTAACCAATGCTGGTTAAAAATAATTTAAGAATTTAATATTTGTATAGCAATGATTTTTGTTATTTATGCATATTCATCCAATAATTATATGCATAACTATGAATTATAAGTATTTTAAAGCTGTCAACTCCTATAAGCTGAGAATCTCAAGAAAATGTTATATACAAGGGAAAAGAGCACAAATTAATTGTATCAACTACAATCTTGAGTTTCCAAGTGCACCAATAGTATGCTTTTGTTTTCCTTCTTCTAATTTCATCTTACCATATTACTCTTTGAAAAAACAGCATTGTTTGTCAATATAAACTTAAATGCTAACCAAAGAATTGAAAACTCACCAGATGCTAACTATGATAGATAATTGAAAAAATGCACTGTCAATTTAGACATTAAACCAAATCAAAATAGGTTTTTCTTTCTCCATGCCTGAATAACCAGATCTAACAAACTTGATTCACATATCTGAAAAAAGTAAGTGTTCTTTCGATAGTTTATTAAATAAGCTAGAGTTGCTGAGTCCTAACATCATGCTATGCCACAAACCAAGTTTTATAAACTACAATTTTATATTAAAATAAATCATAGATCTAACAAAAATGTTTTATCTTTGTGTACATAAAAGTATAAATCCACTCAGTAAATGTAACTAACAATGTTTATTCAACATTTAGAACACAGACAAAATTATACAATATTCAAATTTAGTCTTGTGTAATTCAATGCTATATATTTCTCTAAGCAACTGTATACTCTCCAATTATGATATAAACATTAAGGCAAAATCTCACTTGCATTTAGAAAGACTAGACATTCTTAAGACAATATCTCAATTGATCTGACAAAACTAAACAAGGACTAGCATCCCATATTTCATTGTGACTGTTTCAGCTACATAAAATAATAGAAACAAAGACCCCAGCACCCTTCTTTTTATCTCAGAATTGCAAAATCAAATAAATAGTTCTATGTTGAGTGCTACAAACAAGCCAGAGGGAGAAGGGGGGAGAAAGGAGAAAAAGTATTTAACAGTTTTAGAACACTCCCCATTATGGAAGTATATGTTTCATTCTCCTCATACTGTCTTACAGGAATTCAAGTACAATGCGTCCTTTTTTTTCTCTCTTTGGAAGATGCTTAAAGAAAAATTGTAAAAGAAATTATCAGCTTCTCCCTTTATAAGTAAAAGCACCACAGATCTTACTTTGAGAGCAAGTATACTATAGTGCTTAAGATCTGGATTAGGCATGGAGATCGAAATTCTAGTCTTGCCTTAGGCAGAAAAGCTAGTGGATGACCTTGGCCAATCACTTTCTCCTAGTGCCCCAAAGAGCGCCAGCTCTGTGACAAAGCAAGCCCTTCATCAACTCATGCACTGATGTCCTTGCTGTTGGAACAAACACAAAGCAACCAAGTGGACCCAGCAAGCAAGACAGATGCTAAAAACAACCACCATCATCATAGACTGCAATCTCCCATATATCCCTTTTCAAATTAATTATCACCACCAAGGCAGGAGATGAGCGGAAAATGAAGGCCACTCCAATAACTCAAATTGGATTTGTTTCAAAATAAACCCCTTCTTAATCTAAATTGTGTATGTCTAAATCTACTCATGCCCACAAAGTCAGCAACATTCTTTCAGGAAACAATATTTAAAGGTTTGCCTACAGATTACCCCCTTTTACTTCCTAGCACCAAAAGCAAACAAGAAAAAAAACGCAATTTCTACCTAGTAGAACATTAAAGGCAGGGAGGGAACTGTTGCTCAGGAAAGAGGCCCCACCCTGAGAAACACATATATAAGAAAGCTGCTATCCCTGATTGCCAGTATTTGCATCTTAAAAATAAATTGCATTTTACATCAGAAGCAATAAAAAATATATAAATAATCAAAGTCATATTTATGTACCTGCTGAGCAAAGAATTTTTGTTTTTACATTTAAATAACATCAAAAAACAAAATTCACAAGTTTGAACATCTCTTTACAGCAAAATGCACTGCTTACTAAATCAATACTACATGAAAGTATGAAAGAAGTAACAGAATACATGTCAATCTGCCTAGCAAGCTAATTAGCATAGTATTTTGAATTTTAAGTAGATCTGAAGTCACCACAGACACACAAGAGACTACCACTGCAATTAAGATAACAGATCAGCAAGCCAATCAGAACTTGTTTTGGCCTTTCAAAATGATCGCATAAACAAAAACTATGTTTTTGAGCCTATGTTCAAACAACCAAGCAAATCATTTATATATAATCTTGCTTTACTAATAAAGTTATACATGTAACAAAGTACATGAACTATGACTTCCTACAGGAATCTTTATCAAAAATAGTTCACTTTCTTGACAGTTGAGGAAATAAGTTCCTTAAAATACCTCCTACTTTGTCCCAAAACTTCACCTCCAGATCACCCTACCTAGTCTAAATCAATAGCAATAGGGGCACAACAGGTCCTTCCAGCTCTACCAGTCTAGAAAGAAAAATTCAAGTATAACACTCCATGCTGAAAGGGAAAATACTCTTCCACTCAAATCAGTCATGTTTTGTTTTGCAATTTGAACCAAAATTTAGTAATGTGTTTTATTCTGTCTAAACTGTTTTGTTTATCTTTTTTGAAAGTATGTTTTGTTCCATTCTAAATGTATCTATTAAGACTGGTATGAAGTCTTTGTTAATAAATTTATCAAATCATATGTTGTATATATCTTTTTAACTTATTTAAATATCAATTTCCTTGAAGTGTACACAATACATTCAAGACAGCTAAATAGTTTACATGCCTCTGCAATTTTTCTTACAAACTCTGTACTGCAAATCGAAACTGTTTTTTAAGCAAAATCAGCTAGATGCAGAATTATAATTATATTTAATATAGGACAGGCCTGAGCAGAGCATTTTATCAACATTAATAACAAAAGACAGAACATAAAAATCTGTTACACAAGACACAAAATTTTATCACAATTAAGCAGTGCAATTACAGCTGAGTTAGAGGGAGTAGTTGCTTCACATGAATGTGTCATCAAATAATCCCATATTCATTCTGTAAAAGACAGATCTTTATGTCATACTTCCTTGCAGTTTATACTTCCTTCCTCACAACTATACAAGCCTCCTCTAAAGGCAAAGATATCAACATTTCCTACTGAAGTTTAAAATGACAAAGGTTATTTATACATCAAAAATTAATTCAGAATAAATCCAAGTAGCAACTTTTTAAAAAAAAAATCAAGATTTGCCAGCACACACACAAGCTTAGATATAAATGACACATAACACAGTATGTATCATGTAAGAGAAATAAAAATTCTTCCACAAAGATTTTAGAAAATTTGCAGTTTCTTTAACAATCTGCATATTTCCATGTTTTAATGTAATAGCAGTAATATTCAATATTAAACCCCAAATATTTTTCAGATATCCATGGCACAGATCAACAGTTGTAAAAGTTTCAGACACCATACAGTATTTTTATGAAAATATTCCTTGAATCTTTAATGCATTTCCCCTTGACTAGATATTAAATTCTTTCCATTTCCAAAATCAAGCATTTAAATATAACTCAAAATAAGATTCTAGAAAAGTATTGATTTTCAAAGAGTAAAAAACAGCTGCTTCAAACAAGAGTAGTTCAGTGATGTATGGTCTTCTCAGTAACAGAAAGGGGCTTCCACTATCTCCTCTCCCTCATCTTCACAAGCCCATTTTTCTGAATATCTCATTATTATTATTAAAAGGGACTAGAAAGAAATATCATGCCCTACTTCTCAGGAATGTTAAAGTACTGACATCCGCCATTTTCTCAGCAAAGGAGGAAGACATGTTGGAACAAAAACACAAAAGAGAGCAGCCATTTCTATTGGTACATCCCAGGAGTTGCCAGCTACCCCCTGTATTTTAGAAAATGATCAGAGAATTTAGTTGGGGGCTTGAAGGCTGGGGGTTATGAAGCAGCCAAAGGAAAATAAGCTCTCAATATCTTTTATACAGGTAATTTATCATGACATTTGGTAACACATAACACTTCCTCTAACATAGAACAAAGTAAACTGATCCTTTAAGAGAAAAGTAGTAAATATTCCACCTGCCTAAAGCTATAGTTCTTACCTTATATGAGGGATGCCAACTCCCCCTTGTAGAATCTTGTATAGTTTGCTTTCATATAACAGCTGGGGATGCCTGGCCTTCTGTGATTCTAACTTCACAGCTACTTCCTACAGTGGAAAAGGAGACATGGGGGTCAACAGTCCTACTAATTAGGAGGACTACATCTTACTACTTCACAAAAACTGAGAATAGGGAACATGATCTGCATCATCCCCAGGATTAACTTCTGCAAGTATATTCTACACAATACTTGTACAGAAATCCATTATCAAAAACAATGCTATCGGGCATCTAAAGTTACTCGGAATATGTTAAAATATGTCCTTTTGGAGGGGGGGCGGGAAACACTAGATCAGGATGACAACATGAAAAAAAAAAAACCACAATCTTTCTACAAGAGTACTTTTACTGGTTCCCAGAAAATAACCAGAGCGCCTATCCGTTATGTATTTACTTCATACATCAACTACCCTACACAAAACATGAGCATTTTGTATGGGAAAGGGGCACTTCTCGATCCTTTGAATTAAAACACTGCAATCCCACAATCTTAGCTGTTGTTTTTTTTTAAAAATCCTCTGCCCATATAATTTTAAATTTCTATCTGGCAGAAAAGTATTCGGCATTTTGCTTTAAACGTTACCAAAATGCAAAATGAAAGCACGGGAACAGTAGGTTCTCCAAAACCGAATTAGAGAGGAAGACGGCAAAGACCTCAAAATAAAGTGCAACCTGGGACAAAAGTCCACGAGAGCTTCCACTTCGAGAGAAACGGCTTGCTTGCTTCCTTTTCACCCCCCCCCCCCCCCGCCTGCCACCTCGCCACTCTTCCCACGCAACGGACACCCGGGGCCGGATCCGGAGCCCGGCACGTGAACCCCGCCTGACTGAAGGCGACCTCTACCCACTGGCGAGGCATAGGACATCGAAAGGAAGGAGAAAGGAAAGGCCCGGGCACCGGTCGGCCCTTACCTCCCCGTTGGTGATATTGATGGCCAAGTATATGTCCCCGAAGGAGCCCGAACCAATCTTCCGCACCAGCTTGTATTTGTTCCCGACAATGAACTCGGCCTTGGAGCCACTGCTGCTCGCCATGGCGACGGAGGGGATGGGGGGATAGGGGTTATTTCCCACGCGTTTGAGAGCCCGCGAGTTCTTCCACGGGGAGCTCCTGCTCGACCACGGCTAGGGACGGGGCAGGGGACGACTGAAGAAGGTGAAGGGGCTTCGATCTCGGCGGCTTGGATCGCGCTAGGCCGCTCCGAAGGGTGGACGTCCCACGCAATTTCCCGGCTGACAGCGCGCTTTTCCCCTTCTGAGGAACAGAAGGGGGTCTCGGAGGGGGGGGGAAAGGAGGGAAAGAGGGAAAATAAAAGCCCAAGCGAGTCTGTCCGTCCGTCGCCACTAACTGGCGCTTCACTCGGCCGCCGCCATCTTGTCTGTCTGTCGCTCTCTCGTTCGCTCGTTTCCTCTCGCTGCCGATATCCAGGACACAAAATGCCTCCAGCCCGCGACCGACGCTTCTTCACCGCGCTGAGCGCTCTGGGAAACTGGAGAGAACACCAGCCTGCGCATGCGTCTCCCAAAGGGAGGAAAAGAGGACAAGCAGGAAGTATGTGTGATCTTTAACGCCTTGGCAGGGCGAGGCTGGTTCAAAACATGCGCATGCGCAAAAAAAGGCGGCGGGCTTGTTCCTTGAAGCGGAGAAACCCCGCCTTCCATTACGGTGGGGGGAGGGAATTAGAATAACGCAGTTACCATCGTTCCACACATGCATAAAAGGTTTGTTACTGTACCTTTCAAGTACAAAAAAAAAAAAAAAAAAAGGAGGGGGGGGCTTGTCCCGCGCATGCGCTTTCTGAAGCAAAGGTGCTTTAGGAATATGTGAGAATCGTGTCGCTAATATTCTGGTAAACTAGATTAAGCCCACTTGTACCTATTATCAGTTATATTGTTTATGTGTATATTTGTATGTATGTATGTGCATAAGTGCACCATCGTGCCTCCAGTCCCTGTCCTAATGTCCCCATTTAATCGTACCTATTTACTGTATTCTTACACATGTTTGTACTTATACCTATTATTTTGTAAGGATTGACAAATCAAATAAATAAACATACGCATACACTGCCCTCATGTTGATCAACATTTTTTCTCAGGTAAAAAGGTAGGCAAAAACAAACCCAGAAACTGAAGAACTATGCTACTTCATACAGAAAGGAAAGAAACTTAATATGAATAGTGAATAGTGAATTAATTCAGCAAAGATTAATCACTGTTCCTTCCCTGAGGTACATGATGTGATCATTCTTTTCTCTCCAAAATGAGGACAAACAAATAATGAAATAAATGCTCTTAGGAAATTTTCAAAAGTAAAGGGATATTTTATAGTGTTTTTTTGGATTCATCCCTTATGATTCCTGGAACAATGCAACTGTTATTTATACATGTATATATAATCCCTAAGATTTTATGTGGCTAACAAGATAAAACTACAAACAATAAAACATTAAAAATGGACAGGATAAAACATACAATTGTGATCTTCAACTTAAGATCACAAATGAGCTGCAAATTTCTGTTGTTATGTAAACATTTGTTAAATGAATTGTGCCCCATTTTATGACCTTCCTTGCCACAGTTATTAAGTGAATCACTGCAGTTATTTAGTTAGTACACAGTTGTTCAGTGAATCTGGCTTCCCATAGACTTTGCTTGTCAGAAGGCTGCAAAAGTCAGTTCCATGACCCCAGGACAGTGTAACCGTCATAAATATGAGTCAGTTGCCAAGCCTCTGAATCTTAATCACGGGACCTCGGGGATGCTGAAATGGTTGTAAGTGTGGAAAACAGTCATAAGTCACTTCGTTCAGTGCTGCTGAAAGTTTGAACAGTTACCAAATAAACTGTTGCAAGTAAAGGACTGCCTGTAGCTGGTCTCTGAAGGAAAAGAGTCCCTAGGTCAGCCGCTCCCAATTAAATTGTACTTTTGGCCTGAAGGCCTGTTGAGAAAATGTTTTATCTTCTTTCCCAAAAAAGAAGACCGCTAACGTGGGGTGGAGCAAGGTGTTCCAAAATAAAGGGGCTGCCCTGAAGGAGGCCTGATTCGTTTCCCCTTAACACAGGAATCTCCAAACTTGGCAACTTTGAGACTTGTGGACTTCAACTCCCAGAATTCCCCAGTCAACATGGCTGGCTGAGGCATTCTGGGAGTTGAAGTCCACAGGTCTTACAGTTACCAAGTTTGGAAACCTCTGTTTAACATCTTGCAGGAGAGAATTTTTAGCTTGCATAGAGTGGAAAGATAGCCTATGTTTCCAAGTTTGCCATTCTGGGTAAAAATTGTGTTAGACCTTTGTGTCGGGGAATGTATGTGTCCATTGTTCAGAAACGTCTGCATAGCTGTTGCGTTTATATTTCTGCAAATGTTAACGTTCTGGCTAGGGGGCACTCAAACAGCAAAGCTCCAGCACCAAGTCAAATGAACCAATCAGCATGTAGAACACACACCTCAGCACAACGCATACTGGTGGTACTTGAGATTTGGGGGTCATACATATCATCCCATCTGCAACTATTTGCAATCTATGTTTACCTATCAACCCTTTGCAGCGTAGGTATGTGTCAGACAATTGTGGACAAGTCTAAAACTTTAGACATACTAGAAATTAGGGCATATGAGGAAGATGTGTGAAACAGCCACCCACCTCCCTGTGGGTTTGCTGTAGCTGGGAGTGGAAATGAGTCTGTGACAAAGCCATGGATTATTTAACTATAGAATGAGCCACACATGGCTGGGCTTAAATAACATATGCCACAGTTTGCAACCATAATAGCTGGTTTATGCCACCCAGGATCCTTTGGGAGAAGATGAGTTATAAGTACTATACCCATGACGAATCCAAGAAGACTTTATTATGCATTTAGCATGCCGCAAGCAAAGCATGCTATACTAAGAATTACTGAGGAAAGAATTGCAACGAAGAGCAAAAAGCATGACACAAAATCCTGTGAAGAATAATTAAAATGCCTGAATAAATTTAGCTTAGAAAGAGAAGGCTAAGGAGAGACATGATAGTGGTCTTCTGGCACTTAAGGGCTGCAGTCGTTATAGGTAGGACAAGAAGTAATAGGTACAAGCATTATCAAGAGGGATTCAAAACGAGGAAGAATTTCCTGCTTCCTGGATTTGCAGGTGCTCCATTACTGGAGGTTTTCAAACAAATATTTGTTTCAATAGTCCGAGGATTTATGCCTTTAAATTGGTTGTCCTACCAGTCCTATGATTCTAAAGGAACTCAGTGTGTATGTGCCCCTTGTCACATAACATACTTTAACCAAGCCTTATAACTTACCATATTGTCTGAATTCCTTGGCTGCCATTTCTGCTTTTTGGAATCTGGGATTTCTGACCTCTGGAATTCAGATGTATAGGAGTAATGTATTCCTCAGTTTACTCAGCAAAACTGCACTACTACTCAGCAAAAGATTTTCAAAGCAGTACTACAGAATAAAGCTAAGCAACAATATTAAGCACATTTCAATTCTAATCTATTTATTAAGTCATTAGTATTTCTGTGACACTAGAATTCAAAGTGAAGGTATTTATTATTTTAAATTTATTTTCCTTGCAGATCTTATTGAAGTCAATATATCAATGTACATTTATTTTTTTCTTAATTTATTCCATATTGTCAATATGCATATATGGAAAAATGGCTGAAATATCTTTTGAGTTTGTTTTTATTTTGTTTTTCCTCTCAATAAATGAAATACTACATTCTGGATGTGTATCTTACTCCAATTTCAATTTATTTACTTCCTAATTGTTAACCTATGAATAGTAAGGATATTTTTGAAAACTTTTAAATGAACAAAATAGAGCTACCATATGTATAGCTGCAAAAATCTGTCCTCCAAAGAAATAATGAAAAGTCTCAGATTTTTATAACTCTGATAGGGTAGCTCAAAAAAGAGGATGTTTATCATCTCAAAAAATACACTGGAAAATTATCCTTCTTTCTTCACAAGAAAATTCATTCTAGAAGCTGAAGTCACTTCCCAAATGTCTTCATTGCTCCAGGATTGGCTGTGATTTCATATTGTAATGTCATTTCCTCTTCTACAATTTGGTCAATTACTGAAACTCCTGGAAAGGTCATTTGTTTTTGCAACTCTAGTGATTCCCTACTTTTGCTTACCCCACATCCTACTAAAGTCACTTTAACCAAAATTGCAAGTTGAAATGCGGTTTGACAGCTCTTCAGCTTCCCATCATAGGAATTGATCAGAGTATTGTGCATAGAGGTAGGCAATATAAAGAAAGGGCCTGTACGGACTAGAGTAGGGTTGTCAAACTCTCCGTGTTGTGGTGTCATCACATGATGTATTGGAACTTTTCCCCCCTTCACTAAACTGGGCATGGGCATGGCCAGCGCATGATGTATCCGGGCCACCGGCCATGGGTTTGACAGCCCTGGACTGGAGTGTAATTAATTTGCTTTTCTTTCTTTTAGCAAGGAATGGATGTGTTTTCGTTGTTGCTGCTGCCATACCTGTGACAACTTGGAGCAGGACACTGATTTTAGTTGCTTAATAGTAACAGTGAAGTGCCTTTTGGGGATTAGGGAGTGAAATCACTTTCATAATCAAACTAGAGTTGAAGAAATACTTTGTATAAAGAGTTGCTATCAATATGTTCATGTACCACAACATAACTTAGAGCTACTTGTATCAATCCAATTTAATTTTCAGATTGGATTTTCAAGGATACATGGGAATAATGGAGACAAGAAATGGTGATACAAAATAGAAGGATGATAGTCATGTAGGATATTAAGAAAAAATAATATGCAGCATTGCTTTCTATAGAATTTTATTTTTTATTGTTAATTTCTTGAGGTGGGAAGCATATAATTTAATAAAACTAACAACTAGGGCAACGACTGTTAAGAAAGTACAGAATGGGAATAAAACAATTAAAATCCTAATTATTAAAAATTAAAAGCTTGACAGAAAGATATATTGGGTCTCCATACTATGGATACCACATAGGAGGTCTTTTTATCTTTCGAAGGTTGCTCCTGCTGATATGAGTAGTTGAGCTGGTTCATAGTGGGGAAAAGCACTTTACAAGTAGTAGACACTACCTTGTTTAGGACTTTCTAGATCAATAATAACATTTTGAACAGCCAATTGAATAGGCAATTGATAACCAGTCCAAATATTTTAGGAAAGGAATGATTCAATACCTGTATCCTGCATCAACAGCCTAGTTGCTGCAAATTGTATTGTTTTCAAGTTATGGCCACTTTCAATTATGTCCCCGTATAAGCAGATTACAATAGTTCAGGTGGGTTGTAACCAAAGTATAGGTAACTATTGCTGAGTCATGGTTGTACAAATGTGCTCCTTGTCACAGTGGCATTTGCAAGTGCAAGTTAGATATCAGAAAACTCATCAAACTGCAAATTTTCATCTCAGCCTCTCAGGCTTTTCCTTATTAAAATCACTTCCATTTTATCTTGATTTAATTTCAGCTTGTTCTCTCTGATCCAGCCCATTATTGAGATTAATCATTAGACAGCTTTGTACTGTACTGATTACTTCCTTGGAGTTAGAGGGTAAGGATCAGTAGTACTGAATGCCACCAGTTTACTAATGGCACCTAACTCCTAAGCTCCAGATGGCCTCTCCCACGCATTTTCATTTATATGTTAAAAACTGGAGCACGACTTTTTGAATATGACATCACATGAAGGATTAGAACCATATTAAAACAGTGCCTTCAAGGATACCATGGTTGATGGTATTGAAAGATACTGGTCCAGGAGAATTGGCGGGATTGCATTCCATCTTCCAATTTCCAGCATATGGCAGACCAAATCAGCCTCAGTATATCCCAGATGCTCCGGAAAAATCAGTTTAATCCAATTACAGTCTATAGCTGGGAGGCCACTGCATTCTCAATCACCTTGCTTCAGAATAGAATATTTGAGATTGAACAATAATTCAGTTTTCTGGGTCAAAAATGGCTTTTAAAAGAAAGGATGTTGGGTTTTTTATGACTAGTGGGTTATAGGAATACATCCTGTGCTTCCTTAACTATGGAGCAGTCTAAGCTGGACTGATTTAATCATCCAATAAGGCAAGGATCAAAGAAATTAGCAGTTGCTCTTATTTCTCCACCTGTCTACATTCTGTCTACTTCAAGCTCTGCAAGTTGAAAGGAAACCACTTGAATTTGACAAGCACCTTACCAAGCTTACTTCTCTAAAGATTTCCTCCATACAAGAGTCCAAATTAAGGTGAATCAGATCAACTTTGTACACAAAGAATGATAGAAAATTCTCATAGTTACCATCAGTTCCTTCTCTCAATCTCTTGATAGAAAATAGACTAATGTGGCATAGCTGGCCTATTGTGTATAGCTGCAGAGGAAGAAGAAATGATGCCCTCTTGGCTACTCTTACTACCACAAAACATGTTTCTCAAGCCAGCCTGAAGAAGGAACTTATTGCATGTTCAAACCAATTCATTGTGAAAGTTCCTCCATTTGCATTCCAACCTACTCATGCACTTCATTGCTCTTGTTTGCTTGGTAAACCAAGAAGCTGGTTGATTCTTCAATCATTTTAAGGATTCAGCTCTACTGGAAAAAAAAGGGTACTTAGAAATGATAGTGCCAAGTGATCAGTCCATTTCAGCATTCTACAGATTAACCAGAACTTCAGCGGTATCAACTGCTGAAGCTCTCCAAATGCATTAAAAAATGTCCAGATCCATCAGCTACCTAGGTTAACTAACTCATCATTTCTGCAGGGGTTAATTGCAATTGCAGTCTAAAACTGGCCAGAAAGCAACCTAGTGATGACAACATGGAGCTTTGCTATCTAAAACACCATCAGCAGCTAGAATACCAAATTCAGCAGATGTCTTATTGCATACATGGAGCCAAGTACAGATTACTGTAGCTCTACATCTGTCATGGCAGATGAGCTTCTGAACACTCCTGATTCGGCAACTGTGGTATGGAAAAGCTCTAGAACTGGGAGACATTACAGCTCTAGCATTGTGAGGGATTATGACTAGCTAAGGAAAAGTGTTGTTGAGTAAGGTGGCAGTACACTAAGAGAGAATCCAGATATATTCTGGCCACCAAAATACAGCAAGAAGCACTCTGCTTTGGCAGTTTTTGGACAAAGCTTCTGGCCAGTCAGATGGAATTCCTATAAACCACAGCTTACCAAGCTTGACTTGCTGTGGCACAGACTATCTCAGCAGACAGAAAAAAGATTAACTAATATTTATTGGGATAACATCTCTCAAAGGGACAAATATCTTACATAGGAATTGATCCTACTAACCCAAAGCGGCAATTGTTTTATCTCAGAGAAAAGGGTGATGCAACTTTTGCAACCGTGTAAATTTAGAAATCTAATCCTGAAAACATTCTCCTAGCTTCTTTCTTCCAAATGGGTACTGAAAAATAACCACATTTAAATACATTGACTTACAGAAATATAAATCTGTGGAGTCAAACAGACTTCCTTAACAGAAATAGAGGTGGGAAATATACACTCATAAACTTTGAAATATATGACATCTTTATTTCTTTATGTCCATGCTGACATTTATACCAACAACCTAGATAAATTAAACATCTGCAGTTGTTTTTAACAACCTTCTTTAAGCAAGTAAACAACATGAAATCAATGTAATAATACAAGTTTATGGGGCTGAGTGAAGCATTTTTTTGAGTTCACATATTTTGTAGTAACCTCAGCAAAATATGCTGTGTATTTTGTTTTACTTTAGTAACTCATGTTTTATCTATTTATACTCTCGGCTTTTTTGTGTATATTGTAAGTAATGAAAATTATATTCAATTCATTGTGGTGCTCTATTTTTTCTCACATTTATTATATTTCTAGACTAAAAAAGAGCTCCTGGTTTTGTTTTCTTGTCCTTCTGCTTTTCTCTGTCTCTCATAACACAAGAAACAGGAAGCATCTAGTTAACAAAGCAGTCCATAATTGAACAATATACATACAAAAGCAATTTGCATCAATGCATGTTTTTAAAAGTGATTGGCTTCAGTCTAGTTTTTCACTTGTATCAAAAATGCCCTACTCAGTTTTAAGTAAAATTAAAATCTCCTGACATTTAGAAGACAAAAGGTAGGTACTAGGCATTGTAAATTTGATCTGAGAAATGGTAAAACAAGGAATCTATTTAACCTTTTCTTCTGAAGTTTTTTATTTTGTTATAGTAGTGGTCATTATCTGAAGTTTTTGATCTGAAGGTCATTATCTGAAGACAAGACAAGGACAGCCATGTATCTGGACCTGATGGCCAGTGACCCCGTGGCAGACCCCAAAGAAGGTGGATGGATTGCATCAAAGAGGACATAAAATACATGGGCGTTGCCCTGAAAATGTCCTGGAGCGACCCAAATGGAGATGTCTTTGTCGACAAGTGGATCCTGCCATAGCACAGGATTAACACTAGGAAAAAGAAGAAGAAATTCATTATCTGAAATTTCCTGTTTTTTCCTTTGATGTTTTGGGTGAAAAAATATACATGCTAACATTGCAGGACTTTAAAAATGATGTATATGATTTGTGGTGCCAAGTCTATATTTTTCCACTAAACCAAAATTTGATGACCTTCCCTAAGATCTTCCCAAAGACATCCAGATATAACTCTCTGTACTTAATGGATATTTACTAAAACTTCGAGCTCTCTACAAGCTTCTTGGAAAGATGGGTATGTATGCAGATATTTGGATTGACATCTCATCCCATTTTATACTTCCAAGAGAATAGCTCATGAAAATGTTTTCAAAATAATATCTTTTTAAAATAATAGTAAAGCAGAAACGATGGTGTTTATATGGATTCAGCATTATTCAGGAAAGATTTCCTGCTCTTGTCCTTATTTTTTCCTGCTGTTGTTCGAGGCAGCAGCACACAAGAAATCTAAGTTTTGGGAAACTTAGAAACTAAGTTTGTCCTATTCAATTAAACCATTTGTTAAGACATAGCAGGAAATCAATGAGGAATTTATCAAACAAATAGGATCACATTTACTTGGAAGTTCTTTATTTTGAGTGAAATTTTTGTTTTTTTTTGTCATCGAAAAGATGAGGATGTAAGCAAACTACTCTCAGCAGCAAATGCAAAATAGAGAAGAATTCTTCTAGGCATGTTGCTCAATGTTACTTCCCCATGCTCACTATTGTGCCCATCCCCATTCAGATGAATAAAGTTTTCCTAATAGAGAGTTGCTAATCAGTTATGTTTGCCAAAGTCAATTACATTTCTTAACCATCTAACTGTGAAGTAGAAACAACTTTGAATTTAAAAAAAAAATTTTTTTTGAATAAACCTGCAAGTGAAAAGCAACTGTTAAAAAAAATCATTTAAATTAAGCACTAGGTACCATAAAACCCCAAAATGAAACAATCCGGTAGATATTTTAATTTGCCATATCTTTTTGCCAGTAATTGTTGTGTTTCAAGGTTGCTGAAGTGCACACACATTGTCAGATTCCAGATCAGTGCTAGACCCTGAATCATGGCTTATAACAGTAATTTAAGCACGATCTTTTTAATATTTTTTTCCAGAATTCTGTTTACCAATATTGACATGCAGGGCATAATTCAGAGAGATAAATGTGTATGTAACGAAGCACATCTGTTTGTGGAAGGGGCTACTTTTGTTTTTATTTGTTGTCAGCAGTTGATTAAGTCAACTGCCTAATCAAGAAGCTCAGGCTGGCATTGTCTGCACATTTATCTGGAAGCATTACCCTTCGAATTCAGAGCCTGCTCGTTAAAAAAGGTGCATAGGATTGTATAGATAATTCATTAGAAAATGAATTATCTTTCTTTACAGATAGTCCTTGAGTTATGATCACAATTAAGCCCAACATTTCTGTTGCTAAGCAAGACATTTCTTTTATGAATTTTGCCCCATCTTTTCTTGCTACAGTTCAATGAATCACTGCAGTTGTTTAAGTTAGTAACATACTGTTCCCCCCCCAAAATATGACCTACTCCAAAAGTAAACCCTAGCTTGATTTTTACCCATGCACCCAATATAAGCCCTCCCCCTCCCCCCCAAAAGCCCTGATTAAGCCCCCATCCACTCCAGGGTGCACTGGTAAAAATTAAGCTAGGGTGGGAATTGGGGGTGGAGCTGCCCTACTACTTACCTTTGGACAATTGCAGCCAGGCCTCGCACACCCCAACACCTGCCTTGCCGGCCCATTTCTTCTGCAGCCAGCAAGGCTTTCCTGAAGGCCTCTGTAGCCAATACAGATGGTATCGGCTGCAGAGGCCTTCAGAAAAGCCTTTCCAGATGAAAAAGTTCCTCAAGGCCCCTGACAGCGAAAAGGAGGCCGGGGGCAATGCACACAAATGAGGTCAGTGGACAACACCCTCCCCGCAAAATAAGACCTGGTGTCTTTTTTGGTGGCAAAAAATTATAAGACAAAGTCTTATTTTCGGAGAAACACGGGTAGTTGTTCAGTGAATCTGGCTTCCCCATTACTCCTCAGAAGGTTGCAAAAGGTGATCACATGGCCTTGGGACGCTGCAACCATCATAGATATGAACCAGTTGCCAGGTGGCTGAATTCTGATCACGTGACCATGGGGATGCTGCAATGGTTGTAAGTGTGAAAAACAGTCATAAGTCACTTTTTCAGTGATGTAACTTTGATCAATCATTAAATGCATTGTTGTAAGTCAAGGCCTATCTGTAATTGCTTTTAAAACACACCCACATCAAGCTATGTTTAGCACCTCTAATTCACTACTATTTTTGAACTCTTCTGAGTGATATTTTCCCCTCTTGGTTTTCTTAGCACTTAGTATTAAAATAACATTATACATTTGGGCCCATCCAGGCCAGTGTAATTAAATGCCCCTCCTCTTCCCAAACAACTCCTGGCTGTTTTAAAAATTTCCCTTGCAATATGTATAAGGCATATTTTTTCCCAGAGATATTTTTTTCATGCTTCCTATTGAACAACTGTAAGGTGCTCTAATTTAGCAGTGCTTTGTGAGCCTGATGCATTCACACCATGTTGCTTATTTTCTTTTTGAAAAGTTTTCTGTTATTTTTTCCAAAGCTGTTTTCTTGCAGCATTCAGAAAATTGCCTGCTTTTTAGTTCTTTTTCTTCCCTTGTATGTTTGAGCCTCCTTTTGTTTCACACCTCTACTAAGTTGCAAAATACTGCTGACACCAGAATCAATTATATCTGTGAAGAGCTATCTGAAAAAGGTTCCAGGGATAGTTGATGTTTCTAATTAAAAAAGAAAGAGGCGTGATTAAGTCAAAAGATATTTCGTGTTAGTTTGGTTATTCCTTGGATCATTATGTACAGGTCTTCAATAACTAAAAAAGCAAACAAAGCACTTCCTATCTCTCCTTATGAATGCTCTTTATGAGATTTGGGCTGTTTGGGAGCTGTTTTAACTTGACTCATATCTGCTTGCAGAATCAGGAAAAACTGGTCTCCATCTCTTGGGTTGCAGGTAGACCATATATGGCGTGGAAGAGCAAAGGCCCACATGCTGGCTTTAAATTTACAATGTTATATAATAATACTGCCACCTAATGGATACCTGCATTATTGTTTAAATCTTAATGTTGGTAGTTGGTGCTATTTCAAATAAAAACAAATCAAAACGGATAATAAGGGACCTTGCAGGTCTTCTAGTCCAACCCCACCCCTTGCAAAGCAGGAGGAGACACTATATACCATTGCAGACAAATGGCTGCCCAGTCCTTTCTTAAAAGCCTCCAGTGTTAGAAAGCTGCTGAAACCTCAAAAATTGCATAGCTTTTGCTTATTTCTTGAGGCAATATTATTTCAGAATTGGAACTGCGTATTAATTCAAAATGAGGTATCATTTCTAAATAAGCTAAAAAAATCCCCAACCTTTATATATATTGAGGCTTTGACTTGCAGGTCATATTCATCTCAAGAGTTATTGGTTTTTCATAATATTTTTATTAATTTTTTAAGGAAAAGGGAAAATACAGGAACAAGAGGGGAAAAAGGGGAAATGGAGTAGAAATAAGGAATTTACAAACATAAAATTAGGCTAAAATGTTCAATCTTTCATTGATTTTTTTAAGTAACTGAATATACTATATTGTTTTTAAAACTACAAATGTTAAAATCTAATGTCTGAATATGAACAGCATTAATAACAGCACAAATCATAAGGTGAAACTTTGAACTATAGTAATTTCTGAGGAATTAAATATTTAATATAATAGAAATATAAATTTTAGATGGGCTGCAACTATGTATGTGGAGTTATGTGGGGAAAGTTTGATGACTACCATAAGATCTTAGAAAATGTGGAATATATTTTTCTTTTCCCTGCTTTTCATTTACAGCTGTTTTGCTTTAGTTACATAACTTTCATGGACTGGTTTAGATGGTATATTTCGATTTATGCATCTCACGAACCAGTTTTAGTAGACCTTGGTTTAGAGCATTTTTTAGATCTAGACAGTTTGGTTTGTTACCTGTAGTTCAACAGTGTTTCCCAAATTTGTGTGAATTAACCAAAATTTGTTAAAAAACGTTTTTTCTTTGAGCATGGGAAAGAAAAAATAAAACTGGAAAAATAAAAAAGATGCAATGATGTGGCTTTTCATTTACAATTATAAATCTACCCCTTTCTCTAAAGTAATATCAAGGTTCTGTACTGCTTATGTATCTGTAGTTAAAACAAAGGTTTTGAATTGTTGAGAATCTGCTAAAGTAGAGGGAAGAATTGGAGGCAGATGAGCTATGACAGAATTGGTTAGATAAATTGCAGTGCTAAAGGTGTTCCTTCATTGCCTACAGCCCACCTACCTCTCTTTTTCTGCGCTTCAGTAGGCAAACATTTTGGGATGAGGGACACATTTGAATTTGGGTACAGGGAATGAGAACTCTTACAAAATGGCTTTTATGCATGTGGAAAAGATTAGAATGGTCATAAAATGACTATTATGGAAGGTGGAATCGGCCACAGATCAAACTGGCAAGCTTGTCCCTCATCATCCCATGTAATGCCATCCTGAATCTCCCTCCAATGCTATTTACCACTCTACCTTAACTTTCTGGAGTGGTAGGCATATTTTTAATACAGCACTCCATTCAATAGAAGAATGGTTTTCATCTGTTCTCCAGCTTCCTGGCATGGAAATCAATAATTGGTTATCTGTTGCCCTTCTCTATTATCTGTTCCTTGTAGTAGGAGCTAAAAGATACTTAATTATCCTAAGTAAGAAACAATCACATTGCTTCCAACCATCTTTCCTTCGATGCAACTCAGACTAGGTGTGTACATGTTTACAAGAAAGTTAATCATGGGGAGAGCTAAATTGTTCTTGAGAGTTTCAGAATGAATATCCAAATTATAGTCCTGAACTATAGGAATATTTCTATTAAACATATGTATGACTAGAGAAAAGCAAGAAAACAAAATCAAACATGCAAAAGGAAACAACACAACACTTTTATGTATAGCAGTAGAACAAGTACAGATTCACATTGCTCTAGAATCATCCAAAAAGCATACTCAATATAATTTACATAAGATTTACATAAGATTCCACTTGGCTACTTTTCTATCATTTCAAAACAACACATATTACAAAGTTTATAGAAATACAAAATATATGAATAAGTAAGAAGATGCTGGAGAAGTTTACTTCACAAATATAATTTTTAATCACATTTTTGTTTTAAAAGGTATGCTTTAAAGTCCTTTTACCAAAATTCAACAGCTTTCTAATCATTACAGACAGCTTTGTTCTCCAGAAAGGAATCCTAAATAGAGATGGCAGATATGCATTGCGGATATTAAATCATCTGAAAATATTTTCTATTGATTTAATAAATTCAAATTAGAAATAGGTCTCAATAATTATCATTAGATTCAAAACTGAATAATTTCTCTAATTCAACTACATTAATGATTTTTCAATATACATTTAAACACAAATGCAACTTACACTGTTTACAAGCTTAAATCTGTATTGTCTATTAACCTTAATATATTTTGGGACAGAACGAATTACAATTTTAAACTTGAATTCTCATTATTGTATCTAATTAGACATCCTAGTTATTCCCATTTTAGCTCTGCTATTTGCTGTTGGGCATCTCTCTGGTTGCAATCCCATCCAATTCTGATGAATATAGAATTATATTGACTTTAGCTATAGAATTATATTACCATCAAGTCAGAAATCTCATTGCCATAAATGATCATATGATCAGTGAAATACAGGCATCCTTTCTTTTCTGTTTTTCTTGGAGATGTTCAGTAAAATCATTTGATATAGAAGTAAACACCGCTGACTTTAATAAAATGTATGCCCAGTAAGTTTGCTGAAAACTGGAGAAGTCCAAGTCTGTTTAATGTTTCATGAGAATAAAACCCATTGAATATACAGTAGTTGCCCTCACTTCTGGATAAAAATGCTAGAAATGTATTATAAGTTTAGTTTTTAGGTATAACATTTCCTGCTCACAAATATAAATAGTAAAGCAACACAGATCAGCATGAAAAGCTCTACCTGAAAACATGAAGAAAATAAGTGTTTCTTAAAATTCTGGTTTTTTTTTTTTTTACTATTTCTCAATGAAAGGAAAAAGAAACCTGCATAAGAAGCAATGGCAAATAACAGATAGGAACATTTGTACAGGTAGTCCTCAACTTATAACAGTTCATTTAGTGACCGTTTGAAGTTACGACACCACTGAAAAAAGTGGCTTGTGACCATTTTTCACATTTATGACCATTGTAGCATCCCCACGGTCACATGATCAAAATCCATACGCTTGGCAATTGACTCAGATTTATGACGGTTGCAGTGTCCTGGGGTCATGTGATCCCCTTTAGTGACCTTCTGACAAGCAAAGCCAATGGGGAAGCCAGATTCGCTTAATAACCATGTGGACTTACTTAAGAACTGCAGTGATTCACTTAACAACTGACCAAGAAGGGTCATAAACCAGGGCACTTAACAAATGTTCCGCTTAACAACAGAAATTTTAGCCTCAATTGTGGCCATACGCCAAGGACTACCTTTAATGATCATTTGTAAAGAGATGTGCTGATGAAGCATCCTGTAGCTATTCTTTACAAGGAATTGGTGTGTGTGTGTGTGTGTGTCTTTATGGAATTTCATCAGGAACAAATCCAGCCAAAACAGGATTTTCATTCTCTTTTCCGTCTCCTGTTTTCATAGCCATATTGAGCCTGTGACAAAACAATGGAATTTCCCGCTCATCTTCCGGCCATTTGAGGTAAGTTTTCGTCTTTAGCAATTTCCTCATTCTGTGATAGGGGGAAAGGTATTCAGCAGGAATGTCTTCCAGGAAGATAAGAACCAGGACGTCCTTATGGTCATCAAAGATGCGAAAACTTGCTACTTGTATCTCCTTGGAGCACCACTCGCTTTCCAGGTAGTGGCGACTTATTATACAAATAGTCTTCCTGCTTGAGTAGATATTATCCACAATGTTTTCAATGATGGACCGTCCTGGCTCGAAGTCCCGGTGATGCAAGCAAACTTTCCAGTTATATTGCTTTTCCAGCACTGGAAGTAGGTTGTCCTCTACCCATTTTTCATCATGGGTGTTGTAGGAAAGAAATGCATCATACTCGTATCCCGCACCTTGCCCCTTCCTTTTTTGCTTCTTGTCAATATAATAAGCAAGCAATAGATGAAACATATAGACCATGTGAAATTTCCATTGATAAAAGAAACAGATAAGCATGAGTGAAAGAACTGCTGTTGCATTTGCAATAAACAGGATAAATTCATAATCAATAAAGCAAGAAGATGTGTTAAAAGTCCAGAGCGGCTTTCCCTTATATGTTTGAGGGAAAGCGCAAGTGTACTGATAGAAATGGAGCACCTGAGTTTTAGGATTCTGCAGTGACCACTGGATGAACATTTGGTTGCTACATGTACAGATGAAATTGTTTTGCCTGAGATCCAGGAAAAAAAGGGAAGGTAAAGTGCTTAATTGCTCTTCAGTGATAACGTCTATGTCATTTTCAGTAGCTCTGAAGAGAGTCAGTCTTGAAAGGTTGGCACTGAGAAAAAAATTGAGAGACTTCAGCCCATTTCTATTCAGGTGCAATTGTTTCAGCTTTGATATGGGGTGGAATAAAGAACTGCTTAGTGAACTAAGTTTATTGTTGCTCAAATCAAGCTCTTGAAGAGTAGGAGTAAAGGTGAATGTCTCCGGCTCTAAAGAAGAGATGGCCAAATTGCCTGCGTGGAGCTGCACAATGGACTCCAAACCATCTAAAAAATTCACTGGAAAATATTTAAGTCCATTACCACCCTGGCTGTTTATCGCTAGTTTCTTTAAATACCTTAAAAGTTTAAAGGGTGGGTTGGCAAGCCTTTTTGAGGATTCATAGCTGATGTAATTATTAAAAAGATCAAGGTCTGCTAAAGAGCTTGCCCCTTGAAAAAAGTCTGCCCGAAAAGTTTTTTTACCAATCCTGTTATGTCCAAGGATAAGAATCTGTAAATTGCTCAGACCTTCAAAGGCTCCTGGTGCTATTGTGTCAATCCTATTGTCTGCCAGATTAAGAACCTGAAGAGAAGAAAGATTCTTAAAAATGCCCTTCTCTATGGTTTTCAGATTATTTTGTCTGAGCACCAACACTTCCAGTTTATTTAGGCTTCCTGAGAAAGGTTGTGTGATTGTTTCTAAAGCAGTTTGCCCTAGATTTAGTTCTTGCAAATTGTTTAGATTATCAAAGTAATGTGAAGAGACAAAACCAATCTGGTTTCCATTGATGTAGAAGGCCTTTATATTATTTAAATATCTGAAATCATCAGAAGCAATTTTCTTGATGTCATTAAAGCTAAGATCCAGGCTTTCTAATAATGATACATTAGGAGTAATATTTGGTACAAGAGTTGGTATGTTGTTTGTCCAAGAAATGGAATGCAACAAATTTAGTGATTGAAAAGATGCCATTGGTAGCCTTTTCAACTTATTAAATGACATATTCAAAAACTTTAAATGTGTACAGTTTTCAAAAGCTTCTGCCTTAATATTTGTGAACATATTGCCTTGAAAGTTAAGACTTTGCACTTGCTGGTGCCATTGGCATATGTTTTCTAGAAGATTATCTGATTCGGTTATGTTTAACTGGTTTAGGTGGATAATCTCTAACTGAGAACAATTCAGCATTTGAATCACTTTTGAGATTTCAGATGGCTTCATTGCTATTCCTCCTAAATACAATGCTTTTAAGCCTTCCAGAAAGCAAGGATCTTCTATTTCCCATAAAATAGTCTTGGCAATGGCAAAAGATAAATCAAGTGAAAAAAGTCTTTGCAGAACTGGAGTTGTAATATTAATGAGGGAAATTGGATTATTGGATATATCTAGTTCAAGCAATGGAGGTGCACTAGTAATTTCTTTGGTTGAGAAGTTTGCCAAGCCATTATCTTTGATGTGCAACTCTCTTAAAGATCCCATATTAAAGACAGCATGCATAGCATTCAAGGTATACAGTTTGTTTGAAGATAAATCAATTACCTTTAAATTCTCCAAGTTGGCAAAGGCAGAAGGATTGATCTTGGATATTTTATTTCTGGCAAGTAGTAAGGTGGTAAGGTTCATGAGTCCATCAAACATAGAACTGGAGAGAAACTGCAGCTGATTTACACTAAGATTCAAAAATTCCAAGTGGCTTGTATGAATGAAAGCACCGTCTTCAATTTTATTTATGTTATTCTGGGAAATGTTGAGAGCTTGCAAACAGCTGAAGTTCTTGAAGTCATTCTTCTCCAGACTTTGGATACTGTTCTGAGATAAATCCAAAAACACAAGTTTAGTTGGTAGATAGGTTGGGACTTCTAACAAATTCTGATTGTAGCATAGAACTTTTGTTTTGTTCCCAAAGGTGTTATGGATCTCACACTTGTTAAATGTGTAAGAAGTTACTGTTTGATCTTGATTAAACACAAAAAGCCACATTGATAGAACTATCTGAAAAAACATCATCTAGACAATTTTTACAGCACTGTGATTTTGAGAGTCTGAAATGGTTGTTACGGCTGTGAAATATTTGTATATTGATTGTGTAACAAGAGGAAGGTCCTGGATGAGAAATATCAAAAATAGAATGTGAACTTCTTTTTTTGAGCATGACACTTTCTTATTTTGCCTTCCTTGTATTTCTTAGAGAAAAAGGAAGCAAAACTGGTGGATATGAATTTGCAATTTAATTTCTATATGTTCTGGATTTGGTTTAACAAGTACGTAGATATTTAGAGTGGTTTTGATTGGAAATTCACTGTAACTATCTGTAAAAAAAGTCTTCTTTCTTTCTTTCTTTCTTTCTTTCTCTCTCTCTCTCTCTCTCTCTCTCTCTCTCTCTTTCTTTCTTTCTTTCTTTTTCTTGTACCAGTTAATGGCCCTGTTGGACATTAGACTATAGTCATGCAATACAGCCAGGTTTTGAAAAAGCTACCTTGAAAATACATTTGGTACTATCACTGGAGGCATGTAACACCAACATTGCAGACACTGTGTTAGTTCTGATGTGTTTCTAAGCAATTTCAAAGTGCTGGGATTGATCTAAGCTCTAACTCGTACATGTTTCAGTCATGTTTCAGATTGGGGTATAATATGGAGACAGCATTTATTGCTTTTGTGTATGATGTTGGGTGGAGCTGAGATAATGCAGCGCATCAATGCTTGTGCTCTTTGATCTCTCAGTGGCTTTTGATAGCATTGTCCACAGAATCCTTCTGACTAGCTGTGGAATTGGGAGTGGGAGACACTTGTTACTTCTGTACTCTCAGCTGTGACTCAAAAAGCAAATGGCAGCTGAGGTCAGGAGGAACTTTGTGCAGGTTTGCCTTGTGCACCTTTTGCACCTTTTCTTGAATTGGAAAGTCCTTCAGACATTTATTGATGCTATGGTTCACCTCACAACTGGATTGTTGCAATGTGCTCTGCGCGGGTCTGCTTGTGAAGGCCCTCCAGAAGCTACAGCGGGTTTAAAATGCTGCAGCAGGTTTCAGTCTGGTCATGTGTTACTGCTGCTATGCAAACTGCATGGGTTGGCTTCCAGGTGCAATTCAAGGTGCTGGTTGTTACCCATAAAGCTCTTTATGGCATATCTTTATAGCCTAGCTCCAATTGTTTCATCCATCTGGTATGCTTTGGTAGAGTATGTGAACTACAGATCCTCCTCCCTATGAAATCTGAAGAAGCATGCCTTCTCTGTCACAGTCATTGACATTTGAAAGGTTATCCCCAATGGATGACACCTACTCTCTTTGGGATTCTTAAGCTTGGACTTTGGCCCTAGGCCTTTTGGGAGGCCTATTGTGGTTTATGGTTATTGCTGTTTTAGACTGTATTGTACATTTTTAATTGTACGTACTGCATAGGGATTTTGTAAGCTGCCTGAAGTGAAGTGAGTGGTAGTCATTATTCTCATTATCATACATGGCTGGGCTCCAAAGTATTTTTGGGCCTGCCTTTTCCATCTGGAACAATTCTCATCTCAGGTGGGGAAGCTCAAATCTTCTACATCTGTTTGATGAGGGGGGAATGGAACCTGGAGATTAAGTTCTCTCTCTCCCTCTTATGGAACAGCCCTCTCCTCGGCATCTACCATGTTGCTTTTCATAAAGCTGTGGAAAAGGTGGTTTTTTTATATATGTTTTGAGTATTACTTACTTGCTACTCTTGAGATTGTGATTAGGCACATATATTTTGCTTATTGTTACTTTTTTGAATATTTATTATATGCTTTTAATTTATATTTTAAACTGCTAGAAGGCATTTTTATTAGGGTAGCAGACTCCTCAGATCCCATTGAAGCATTTAAGGCCAACATTCCAACAGTAGGAAGGATTTAAGAAAACATTATTCTGGTAAAAGAACCAGGGATACAGTCAACTTAGTCCTGAAAGGTGCAGAACACTTCTTGTTTTGCATAAAGATTCTAGCAGAACTGACACATAGAAAATCACTGGAAAACTGGGAATAACGAGAACAGTGTGAATATATCCCCTCATGCTCTGTCAGAAAGTGGAAACTACTCCAGTAAAAGAATATTATTTTACTCTAAGTATTTGGAGAGTTCTGTCTTAGTGGTTCATTTTGCAAGGCAACAGGAAATGAGGCAGAATATTGAGAAAAAACAGTGATTTCTCAATAATAATGAGAAATAGAGACTGTCCAGAATTGCCCACGAGGGTAAAGAATTCTTGAAGCTGAAGATGCCATGTATCTGAAAGTACCAGCTTGGGGAAGCCTGATCCATCCTATGACGATTTGGCTATATTGCTAACTAGAAAATGTTTTGTAGATGTTAAAACACATCTTACGCATGGTATCTAAAAGTACTGATACTTTGGATGGATGGACCAATCAGTCCTATTTTTATCTGTTTATCCATCTATCAAGGCCTTTTCTTTCTTCTTTAATAAGTCCATAGTGACTCTCTTGTCTCAAACGTAAATTCTAAACAACCATTGCAAATAGTAAGTCACAATGTGTATCCTTTCCATTGTTTAATCCTGCAGCATGAACTAACATTCTAAAAGTTAAAATCATTCCAAGCTGTCTCCAAAGGCATAAAAAAGGCAGATAATGAGTAGAGCAAAGAGGATGCACAGTTCTGTGTTATAACAGACTAGGGAGATACAGTCCAAAATGTTGACACAAAATTAGCCAAAGCTGAGAATTATGATAATTTCCAATGTACTGAATCCAATGGAAGTTGCTCACTGTTGTCTTCCGGGCTTCATTCAGGACAGATGCAGGCAATGCCATGTCAGCTCAGGGAAGTGCCATTTCAGCCATTTAGGATTTGCTATCTTAGAAATTTTTAATTTGTGCAGTTGGATTGGAAAGCTCCTTTTCTATTTTTTTCTTGTTATTTTGTTATTAAACAAAAAGACAAACTATAGATATGCATAGATGTACTGGAATTTAGAGATGCATTTGATCAATGCTTGCTAACAAGAATTCAATTTATTTCTCTGTCAGTGTAAATTTGCACAGTCTTTAAATGTTTGTGGGAATGATTGCCATATTCTGGCTATATCTAGATACAGCATGCTGTAATATTCCCTCCCAAATTAAGTAATCTCATGTGTTTTGTATTGTACTTTGTTGCTGGGATGCTTTTAGACTTATGTGATACCATCTTCCAAATGTCAGAAGTGATACTTCAAGATAAACAAGTATACTGTAGCTTTGCAGCCAAAGTAAACTAGTTTGTGCAAGAAACATAATGAACACATTTCTCAATAAGAACCAATAATTTCTATGTTGTGTCACTTGTAACCAAACAGGCTCAACAACATTTGTTTCTTTCTTTGAATGTTTACTTTGCAATCTTTCCATTCCAGGCATTTTAACCAATCAAGACAAGCAGAGATGAGACTACATATTGTGAGCACCTCAGGAGGCTGGCCTCTTTAGCAAATCTGATACAAAATCTGCATGGTTAGCAAGCCAACATACCATCAGGATATACCTGAGTTTCCTAAAGATACCAGAAAGAAGGCACGTACTAGGGTAAGCATATGCTTATGTTTTTCAAATATTTGGCCATAAATAATTCAAATCTTTGACATGTATTAGTGACAAATGAAGGCTGTATGGAATCCCTGGCATAAACTGAGAATGGGGATGATTAATCTGAATTTTAGAAAATCATATTGTCATAGCTGATCCTTGCCCAACCATAATTTACACTGTGGAATTACTGTAGAAGAGTTCATTCCATATATCTAAAGTTTATCATGCAAATGTAATAGCTGGGAGATGGTTTTTTTTTTGTTACAAAGGAATAACGTATTGCTTTGTATATTTCTACAAGTGCAGATATGTGTTTCAGTTTTGAAACTAAGAGATAAGAACAACGGTAGAGAACTTACTTGTTTGAGCACTAGATGGTATCATGAAACACTTGGAGAGCTTCTCAAATATTGCCTAAAAAAGAACATTCACAAAACTGACATAGTTGAAAGAGAAGCATGTAGCCTTTCTGCCATTGGCAACCTTATAAATAAAACATATGACAGCGTGTTTAATGGTTTTAATAGATTATGTGGGGATTTGCACTCCTAGATGATGCAACATTGAAGTTTATTGCATTCAAAGACTGTTTAAAACATCTCTTTCAAACAAGCTGTCTTCATCAGACTTTGAGGGAAGCAAGATCAAGGAGGAGGCATGGCTGTGTGTCTTAGAACAGTGGTTTTCAACCTGTGGTCTGCACACCCCAGTGGAACTGTAATGTTGTCACAGGGGTCTGTGAAGGCTTGAAGATATGTTATGATTGAAATTTTGAGTGAAGTCTTGGGAGTCTGTGGCCCTGGTCACACAAAACAGTGCAAAAAATATTTAAAGGAGGCCCATGATAAAGAAAAGGCTGAGAAATATTGTGGTAGGGTAAAATAACAGAATCTTAAAAACCTGTCAGGATTATTGTCTGTTCCATTTTACATCAAGCTAAATTAAGGTGGTCTTAAGGTGTGTTTTTTCTTTTGCTTTCCTCTTTCTTAGGAATTACTAACCTTTTCTGCACCCCCCCCATCTCCAAATCATTCATTCTTTCTCAAGGTCTGATCTACATTCCTTCCAGGGGTGGGATTCAAAAATTTTAACAACCGTTTCTGTGGGTGTGGTTTAGGTGATGGGTGTGGCTTGGTGGTCATGTGACTGGGTGGACATAGCTTGGTGGTCATGTTATTGGCTGGGTGTGGCCAACTCAATATCACTCACATCGAGGCACGCATCTCCTCGCCCGGCCTCTCATGACTGTGGGGATGCTGCAACAGTCGTAAGAGTGAAAAATGGTCATAAATCACTTTTTCAGTGCCATTGTAACTTTGAATGGTCACTCCACACAAGCAAAGTACCAGCAATGGAGGGGAAAAAAAAACTCCAGAGAAGTTCCTGAGATAGTCCTGCCAAGAATGTAATAAGAGGCAGTTTCTGTAAGCAACACCAGAATGTTTCCTTCCTGCCTTCCTTACAGGATTAGGCCAGTAATTTCTTCTAACAACCGGTTCTCCGAACTGCTTAGAAAGTTAAAACCGGTTCTAGTGAATAGGTGTGAACTGGTAGAATCCCACCCCTGATTCCTTTATACCACCTAAGCCATCAGAATCACTCCCCTCCCTCAGTTACAGAGGACCCAGCATCTCACCACAGTTAATGGACAAGTGTGAAAGGGAAGAGCTCGATGGACTTGGAAATTTTTCCCTCCCTTCCTGTCACACAGCAACTGTGACTGGAGGGTCCAACATGGAAAGAAGCAAAGAGGCACTGGGGACCATCTTATTAGTATTGGTAGCAATTCAACAGGATGTGAACATTTTAGATGGAAGTGCTGAGCACCTCAGGAGTCCTTCCAGTCAGTAAGATTTTCTAATTGTCCTAGCTTGCATTGAAAATTCAGAATTCATTCCATCTTTTATTCTTCTTCCTCATCCAGAAGAAGAATGATGAACCACAGTAAGATCATCTCAATGCATGTTCTTTTATACCCCTAGAAATCATCTATGTACTCATAAATCTGGCCATTTGGGGGTTCATCTTGCAGATTTTTCCAGATTTGGCAGCCCTTGGTCAGATTTGTCAAAAGCAGCTTTATTAAAACTTTGCATTATCATTTAGTAATTATCCAACAATTGATCATTTCCCTCTGGGAAGGGCACTGCTCATCTTCATTTAATGACCTGTCTTTAGCAACTGATCAAAGTTACAATGGACCTCCTGCTTGCAGAATTCTGACCTCATTCCTTGTGGTTATATGACTGCATTTCAGTTGCTTGGCACTCAGGTCATGTTTAGTGCTAATTGCAGTTTTCCAAGTCACACTACTGCAATTTGTAATGTTTTTTTTTTAGCCAGTTTCCTACCTTTGGGGCTGGTTTCCAGCAACACTGATTTGCTTAACAACAATTGCATTCACTAAATAACTGCTATGTTCATTTAATGACCAAAGCATTCACTTAACAACCACTGTAAAAAAGTCATAAAATTGTGTCTGGTCATGTGATTGCCTTGATTTATGACTTTCGTAAGGCTATCTGTATGTGGTCACACGTATTATCAAACCAGTGTTAAGTGTATTAACTTAGCCCATTTTGTGTTTCAAGCTCTGGCCCAGTTTATGTATTGATTATGTGAGAAGAGAAAAATACAGCAATTTACCAGTTGGAAGATTTTAATGCAGGAATAGATAAATATAATCTGCAGTAGAAGTTCCAACTTCATGACATAGCTATTGTTAGTGTTTCAGATAACTAGGTTTCTACAATGGATAAGAAAGGAACCCGTATTCATTACACATCCAGGTGGTCTAGTAATGGTTAACCAATATCTGTAAGATCCATTTCCTGTCTGTTTTTGCTGTTCCTTGCTTTTGGATAAATTACCTTAAAGCTTTATTTTATATATATATATATGAGTTTTTTATACCTTGCACTATGGTTAGAGAAAGTTCTTTAAACTCCTGCATTTGCAGCCTACCATTTGTAAGTACCGCTTGTGGAAATTATTATTGTTGTGTCTGAGGCAGGGGAGAATGTTTCATTTATCTTCGTTTTCATAAAAAGCAAAGGTATATTACGCTGAAAACCAACTACATTCCTTTCGGTGCTGATGGATGTGAGCAGAGAAAGGAGGCCAAGAGCAAATGCTGCACTGGAGAATGCAAACAAAAAAAAAATCTATGAAACGAAGCAATGTTTTCTTCGGTAAGGTGAACTTTAAGTCAGAAGTAATCTAGAGCAGGGTTTCTCAACCTTTGTGGTATCAGGATCCCTTAAAATAATGAGTTTACGTGACCTCCTCCCCCCATTTTATTATACTTTGTTCAGAGCCTGTTTCACATATGCAAAAGGATCGTTTCCCAAAGTGGGCTTTCCTTCTGTAACCTTTGTGCTCACAGTAACACCTGGGCTTTCCTTCTGTAACCTTTGTGCTCACAGTCACAACTCCTGCAGTGCACATTTGACACACCTCAGAGCTACGCAGGCAGGGCCAAGACACTCTTGTCTGTCTCACCTTCCTTGCCTTTCAAGGCTTCTCCCAGTGGGGAAGGTCATCCTGAGTTTCTGATGCTGAGCATGCTACAAGTCTACCTTAAGAAACCCAAACTAATTGGATCCTACCTGTGAAAGAGTCTATGCTAAATACAGTAAAGAACAGATGCTGAATGGCCCTTTTGCACAAAGGAGGGAGTACAGGGGTGGGATTGTACTGATTTGGCCTGGTTCGGGTGAACTCCTTGCTCCGAAGATCAGCTGGCAGCGAACAGATTCGCTGCGATGAGCATGTGGGCCTGCCCACCCGCCCTCACCTACTCTTCCCTGTGCTTTATTTCCTTTGTTTAGAGCACAGCTGATTTGTGTGGCAGAGCGGTTTGCCGCGCCTCAGCTGTTTTCTTCATAGGGACAGCAGTAGAAGGCAAGTATTAGAGGATTTTTAAACGCGGAGCATGCGCACGAAGTGCACAATCAACGAAGCAGTTGTTATACCAGTAGAATCCCATCCTGAGGGAGTGAGGAATCTTTTCATACAGCAGGATTAAGAGGCACAAAAGAGTTTGAATATTGTTTCTCTACAAAGGGCTTGCTCTTGAAACACAGCATTAACTAAAATATTTTAGTTATTTTATTTATTTATTTATTTGATTTGTCAATCGCTTACAAGATAATAGGTATAAGTATAAACATGAGTAAGAATACAGGAAATAGGTACAAATAAATGGGGACAATAGGACAGGGACAGTAGGCACGATGGTGCACTTATGCAGGCCCCTTACAGACCTCTTAGGAGTGGGGTGAGGTCAATAGTGGATCTTTTGATGTTAAAGAAGTTAAAGGAATTTTAATTATGGCTTCCTAAGTTTTCTTAGAGATGTTGCATCTTCCAGGATTGGGTGCACCGGAATCCAATGTAAAACTCCCCAGAAAAGGTTCCAGGAAGAGTGATTGTTGGAAAAGGGAGAAGGTGAACACCCTGGTCCTCATTGGATCACTTTAGGCAGTGCTTAGAAGCAGCTTGGAATTTTTCCAGGAGCTATTGTGAAGAGTGCAAAAGCTGTTGAAAAAGAATTCTGGTATTTAGATCCTATGCAGAGCCTAGGTTAGTGTCAGCAGTCAACAAAGGCTCCCATTTCCACACTGAGAAGGAATGAGGAACTCCATCTTTCAGTTTTGCTTCTGTGCCCCAGTTTTACAATTTGATGCCCTCTGGTCTTGGGAATGTGATGGCACATGATGCATGATGTAATTCAGAACAGAACAGAATAACAGAGTTGAAAGAGACCTTGGAAGTCTTCTAGTCCAACCTCTGCTCAAGCAGGAGATCATGTATGATTCCAGACAAGTGACTGTCCAGTCTCTTCTTAAAAGCCTCCAGTGATGGAGCACCTACAACTTCTGAAGGCAAGCTGTCTCACTGGTTTATTGTTCTCACCGTTAGGAAATTTCTCTTTATTTCTAGGTTGGTTCTGTCCTTGATTAGATTCGATCCATTGCTTCTTGTCCCTACTAATAGATAATATTCTGGCCAAAACTCAGAATAAAAGTTATTCAACAACTTTGGGTCCATCACACAGGACAGTGTCTGGGCTCATTTTTCCCCCTATTTTTCTCTTGGATGGGATCTGATCATCTTTTCTCTGCATTAGATAGGCAGAACTACTTTGGAGAAGATGGCACCAAGGGTTTTAATTAATAACAATTACATTAATATTTGACAGGCTTTTGAAGCAAATGAATACAATTTTACAATAAGTGCATTAATTTATTGATAATTCTTGCCTGATTTAATTAAGTGGTCACAGAATATAACTAGAGTTAAGGAAAAAAAATAGCTTTTTTCTATATGTCTGTTACTTATTTTACAGGATAGAGCAGTGATGGCTAATCTTTTTGGGCTCCTGTGCCAAAAATTGAGCACATGCTTGCACTCGTGCATTTGCGTGCCAGCACCCAGAAGGCAATGTGTGCCCCCACTCCCCCAGCGCATATGCACGCAATCCCCCCTTACCTGTACTGCACCTCACAGCTGATTTTTGGCCAGTTTGAGGCCTTTTTTGGCTTCCCAGACATTTGAAAAAAGCCTCTGCAGGCTTTGCAGGACAAATAATAGGCCTGTTTCATCACTTCCGGTGTTTACAGGAAGTGACAAAATGGGCCTATTATTTGTCCTGCAAAACCTGTGGAGGCTTTTTTCAAGCCTCTGGGAGATCAACAAAGGCCTCAAACCAGCCAAAAATCAGCTGTGAGGTGCAGGTATGTGCAGTGAGGTAAGTTTGCCTGCGGCTCGCATGCCAGCACAAATGGCTCTGAGTGCCACCTGTGGCATGTGTGCCATAGGTTCGCCATCATGGGGATAGAGGGATTACATCATCAAGCCACATCAGTGCAAGGACAGCATACTATTATATATAGAATAATTGTTGTTTGTCCCATATCTATAGAATCAAAGAATGTACACTTTCAAGTTTTCATTATTTATAGAACATTGAACTTAGTAGAAAATAACCATTTTGAAATTATGCCTTAAGTAAATTATATGGAAATGCCATAGAAAGTTTATAAAATATTGCATATTTTGTTCCAAATCTTCATTGCTTTTATTTCTTACTAGTACTTTTATGACCCTAATTTTAAATAAATAAATAAATAAATAAATAAATAAAGAAAGAAAGAAAGAAAGAAAGAAAGAAAGAAAGAAAGAAAGAAAGAAAGAAAGAAAGCAGAATAATGCCTTGCTGCTATTGTTTTGAAAATTTGTATTGTAGATTTCAGCACTGCTATACTACTTCACTGGATCTAGTGTCAGGGGTGGGATTCTACCAGTTCGCCTAATCCTGTAAGGAAGGCAGGAAGGAAACATTCTGGTGTTGCTTACAGAAACTGCCTCTTATTACATTCTTGGCAGGACTAGACTTCCTTTCTCAGGAACTTCTCTGGAGTTTTTTTTTCCCCTCCATTGCTGGTACTTTGCTTGTGTGGAGTGACCATTCAAAGTTACAATGGCACTGAAAAAAGTGACTTACGACCATTTTTCACACTTACGACTATTGCAGCATCCCCACAGTCATGAGAGGCCAGGTGAGGAGATGCGTGCCTCGATGTGAGTGATATTGAGTTGGCCATACCCAGCCAGTAACATGACCACCAAGCCATGTCCACCACCTAAGCCAAGCCCACAAAAACGGTTGTTAAAAATTTGAATCCCACCCCTGCCTAGAGCCAGTTCTACCTCTCCTTTTATGTAGCAGTTTTTGCTCTCAGATGCAGGTAGAGATGTTGAACAGAGGTATTCCATCATCCATAGATATTGGATAGAGAAACCAAGTGATGAAATGCATAGTGTGACATGCAATGCAAG